CACATAAATATTTTCAACTGGTAACATTTGGGAAACAAACAAATTCGCGCGAATTCCCCACGTTGCTGTACCTGTTGGAATCAATTTATAAGTCTGGAAGAACAAAGAAGCAACGGAACAAAGCAAAACGAAGTAAAATACTCATTCGTGTTGGGCAAAAACACAACGAAATACACAAAACATTTGAATACAGGTAAAAACGAAGAAACGAGCTTGAGTAATGCTGAAACCCGTGGGATACACGGAAATAGAAGGGCAAACAAGGCGACTAAAACTTCCAAATGGACATACTAAAAAACGAACAAAATACCTGGTATTTTAACCACACGAATTAGACTGGTGAATACTAGAATTTTCTCCCATATTTGCACTTTGTTCAAGTAACCAGAGTTCTGAATATACATGTGTTCTGACGTGTATACTTATGCGTACGCGGTATCATGAACATAAATGTAAATGTGAAAATATAAATATCAACAAAAGTATAATTTTTTTTTTGCCCCCATCATCTTCTCGTCTGGCTCATGAGCATCAGCACATCCGTTGCAGACGAAAACGCATTTTGTTGAAACTGCTATTTGAAACGTAAAATTATTTATATTTATTTAGATATAATTGTTCGAGTTTATTAAATATTTTTATTTGTTGAAAAATTATATTGGAGTCTCAGCGCAAGTTGCCTCAGTTTGTCTGTATTCAACACACTGTGTGGTGTGAGCACCTGGCGAGCACGGAACACAGATTTCTGCGTGTAATTCCCGTTTATTTTTTCGGTTTAAAAGAATTTCTCATGATTAAAATATATAAAAAAACATGTGTTTAATTTATATACAGAAAAAGAAGACGTTTACCGCAGCTTTCTCGCCTTTTGCAACTGAAACCTCCTGACACATTCAAGAACGGCAGGCGCGAGGTCACTTGCGGTCAGAGGAAGCCAAATACGGCGGTGTTTTTAGGATTTTTTTCCCCACAAAATATAGAAATAAGAGTATAAAACCAGTTATTTAGTTAGATAGAGAATATTTACAATATTTAGAGTCATATTTACACTCTATATACCTACATATATAGGGAGACAGGCACACAGAGCAGCGCAGCCGCCCCGCTACAGCGCGTCTGTCTGTCTCACCNTACATATATAGGGAGACAGGCACACAGAGCAGCGCAGCCGCCCCGCTACAGCGCGTCTGTCTGTCTCACCTTCGCTTCTCTCTCCCTCAAGCCTCTTCTTTGTTGCCGTCTCATTGCAGATTTAGAACCACTTCATGCATTTTACGTCTCGTACAAATCCCATTCCTCTTTTTATTATTCCCCCCTCCACCCTACCCACCGACCCATAACCAGCAGCAGCATCAGCATACACCGCAGCAGACGATGGCGAGAGCGGCAGCACTTGCCGGGGTATTTGCCCTGGCTGCAGTGGGGGGCAGCTCTGCCCTTCCACCTGTGCTTGAGGGTTCTACTGGTACCCCCATGACCTGGACCGAAGGTTCTATGGAGACCCCTGATGTTTCTGTTGGCGCAATGAGCACCGGCCGCAGCGGCAGTGCTGTCCGTATGATGGACACTGCTGCTACTCCTGAGGCCCCTCAGCAGCAGCCACAGCAGCCTCAGCAGCAGCAGCCTACCCCCATGCAGGAGGCTGTTCTTGAAGCNACCGTAGACACTGCAGCCGATGCAGTTCGTCAGATTGTGACTCGTGTTCGTGAGAGGCTTGCTGGTGGTGTGACAATGCCTACAGCAGGAGAAGCAGGAGTGACTCGTCCTGGTTCTATGGCAGCAGCAGCAGCAGCAGCAGCAGCAGGTCCTGTTGCAGCACTACGTGGTGTAACAAATGATTTCCTTAGAGAAATAATGATTCAAGAAGCAGTACTAGAAACCCTCTGGGCTGTTGTGAGAGATGCACAAGAAAACCCATGGATGATGAACGAGCAAGAAACCCTACATACAACAACATCTGAGGCAGTTCAGGGTTTCCTTACCCGCATGCATGATAGACTGAGAGCAACAGGTTTCACAGAAGAAGAGGTTATGCGTTTGCTTCCTCGTAGCCGCAGCTGCAGCAGCAACACAGCCGGTGGTTTGTTTGAAACATGCACAGACCCCACCACCCCCGCAAGAAACCTAGGAAAGAAAGGAGGATACTATGGCTATGGATACCCAGCAACCTACCACTATGGCTACAGCTATCCTTACTATAGTTATACATACGCATACCCCATGTATGTACAGCCCATGGCCTACCCTGCTTACTATGGATACTCCTGGGGGCCCTCTTACTACTACGGGAAACACGGAAAGCACAGACGCCTGGGTCAGGAGGAGAGTTTCTTACCCCCTACTCTGACTGCAGCAGGAACAGCAGCAGCAGTATTGAGAGCAGCAGCAGCAGAAGCTGAAATGCCTGCTGCAGCAGCACCTACAGATATGTTTCTACCCCCTGAGGCTGCAACTCCTATGGGAATGAGAAACCCTCTCTTCGGTCTAGAAGAAGGTGTACCTGGACGCTCCCTATACACCAGCTGGAGCTCCCCATACACCCGGTGGCCCTCTTACTATTCTTCTCCTTACTACTACAGCACCCCCTACTACAGCAGGTCCTGGTATAGCTACCCATACACCCCAGCATACAGCTACAGCTACCCATACACCCCAGCATACAGCTACAGCTACCCATACACCCCAGCATACAGCTATGGATACAGATACACCCCGTCTTACAGCTACAGCTACCCTTACTACTATAGAAGACTTGAGGTTCCTGATCTGGGGGTCCCCATGCATCAGCAGCAGCAGCAGCAGCAGCAGCAAGAAACCACCAGCACTGCTGTGCCTGCTGAGCGTATGAGCACCGCATCTACCCGTACCACCCCCAGCAGCAGCAGCAGCAGCAACAGCAGCAGCAGCAGCAGCCTCAGAAGAGTAGGAGACAGATATGAACAAATGACACCTTCTTCAACTTACTTTACTCCTAGCAATGAAACCCCAGCAACCAACACTGTCTATACACCTGAACATGCTGTAGTAGAAGAACAAACCCTCTGGGAAACCTACAACTAAACCCTAAACCCTAAACCCTAAACCCTAAACCCTAAAAGGTTCAATATACATATACATGCATGCGTGCATGTATGTGTATGCTGAAACAAACTATATAAATTACGATTATTATATTTTATATTCATAAACTTTTATTGCTGCTCTTCTGCAGCATAAAATAAAATTTTCTCAACACCACGCATGCACACCAAACCCTAAACCCTAAACCCTAAACCCTAATTTAGGGTTTAGGGTTTACTGTCCCTAGATACAAACAAGAAAGAAACAAATTGCAACAAAAAAGAAACACCGCCAAGCACGATAGTACTG